ATGACTTACCAATTTGAGGCGCAACTCCTAGCCTTGGAGCAAGGATTATATGCCTCCAAGCAATTCCAGGGACACAATAGCCATGGCCTCCAACCTAGAGGATTGTTCTATATTGTTCAGTTCTCGACATGAGGGAAAGAAAGGAGAAGGACCGTCTTGAATTCATTTATATAGAAACGCACGACCAAATCTTGTTTTTTCATGGGCGCAGGTCTGCGCATTGGCATCTTTGAAGCTGGATGGCCTTTGGTTGGGCGGCCCCGCCAGCATGGCATTTGCAGCTGCAGAAAAAGCAATACCTTGTGCCATGCAACTGCTGGGTTTCGGCCTCAGCTCAGCAAGAAACACATCCAACTTTGACGATAAGACATTGTGATCAACACCAATAGTAACTACCAATAGTGACATTGCTAAGCCAAAAAAGCACACCAATAGTGACTACCATTTGTTCATTGTTCATCTTCCTACAGTGGTCGTAAAGGTCTTTGGCCACAACTTAATGAACTGCTATGATGAACCTTGAACATCCCAGTTTTTTTGACCAAGCTTTTGCAACAAGCCTAATGAGCGGAGACAGATGCACGCGGCGAGACTGATAGACTTCTTTAGCGGCTTGCAGGATCAGGAGATCCGGAAGAAATAGGTCTTTGGGGTTTGGGGGACTGACGTTCCTTTCTGCCAACCAATGTGTGATATTGCAGAATGAAACACATTGAGCAAGAAGGCTTCACACACTGACCAAACCATTAGTGGGAATGGAATAGACCCGTTCCCAAGCAATACTTTCCATCAATCACTCCTCGACCCCTTCATGCAACTGCATGTTCATCGCAATGTTCAAACTGATAGGACCAAAAGCTGAGGGGGAGGTCAGGTGTGGCTCGAAGCCCCCCTGAACATGTTTTCTTCAACAGAGTTTTTACGTACCTGAATGAATGTCAATTATGAGCCAAGTGATACACAAGTGGGCAACATCCCCAGAAGTCAGCTATGCTTTGGGCTGCCTCCCTCTCTGAGGGCCCGGGAAAACAGGGCGTGCCATGGCATATCATGTATGGCATGCGCCCCCTGAAAACCACTTTCAGCTCACCAAGGCTCGAAAATCATGCTGGCTGGTAGTGATGTGCATCGAGAACGGGCAAAGGTGGCATCGAGAACTAGTAGCTTCTTGCTACTACTAGTGATGCCCTTGTTACTGCTAGTAATGCCCTTAGCTACTAGGAGCTTCTTGCTACTAGTAGTAATGCTGCTAGTAATGCTTTTTTCCTAGTAGTAATGCCCTTGTTACTAGCAGCTTCTAGGTACTAGTGTTCATAAGTGTTGCTCAACTACATGTCATCGAAAGATGTCTATTGCAGTTTTCATCCAACCACAACACTCCGCCAGGAATACTTGTCATTTGTACAACAATCGAGAAAAGATATCGAAGAAGTGCCTGGCCTGAGAGGAGGCAGGTTGAATCCAGATAGGTGCAGAGAAGACTATAGAGAAGATTCAGTTCTTTGAGACAAAATTCAATTGAGCAAAAAGGATGAACAAATGGAAAAAGGAAGGCCCTTACACTTTGCCTTGCCTTCCTGCTTCTCCATAATTTATCTATATATCATGCATTATCATGCATTATTCAAACATTGTCCTTCTACGGCCTTGCTTCAGCGACCTTTGAAGACGTGTGTAGGTGGCCGGCTCTCTGTCACTGATGCTGACATGCGGGAGGATGTGCTTCCAGTGCTTCTGCCAGAGGTCATGAAACCGGAAACTGCACGGCCAAGGTTTTTGTGTGACATGCCTGTTGCAACTTTAGACGAGGGAACAGAGGTGTTCAGCTTACCAAATAGCTTTGCAAACACACATAACAACCCAGAGGCCAGGTAAGGCAGGTAAGGAGAGGTAACAGTAGAAGAGTGGGGCCACCCAACAAAGTCAGGTTTGCTAAGCTGTGAGCTGAACCCCTCGAAACCAATAGACGATAGCTCTCCTCTTCATTGTGAGCCTGCACAGGAAGCCGCACGGTGTCTCAGCCTAGAGCGCATTGCAGAAATACAGCGAGCGACCAGAACGTTCCTGGTCTTTGATACAGGCAGGATTCCTGGTCTTTCATGAAACACCTTGAAAGTCAAAGCTTTGCAAGGCGGAGGCTCAGTCATGGCCAGGGGGATGCGGCGTCTGCTGGTTTGTGGTGGCACCGAAGTGAGACGAGCAGAAGCCGCTGCGCGAGCGCGAGAGCGCACGGTGCAAGGAAACCGACATCTGGTGCGAAGCCCAACGTGATTGATGTTTCATTGACATGATTCAAACTATTGAAAACGCATAATAATGCCGATAATGCATTCATTCTCCCACTTTTGGTTTAAGTGGGATATGCCAATGGTTTGTTTCTGCAGAAAAGTGTCGCAAGGCCCTTCCTGTGGATAAAACAATGAAAGCTGACTTGAACTAAGCTTGGACTTCAATCAACCAAGAAGCTACTAGTAACAAGTGCCACGCTAGTAGTAACAGGTGCCTTACTAGTAGTAACAAGAAGCTATTAATCTATTTTAGTTTAATTTAAATGCGCAGGTCAACTCCCTGCAGGAGTCTGAAGTGGAGAACATGCCACACTCCCAGCGCTGCAGTGCCAGAGTCGGCATGGGTTGAATGGACAAGACACGTCACATGAATGTACATAATACAATTAGACAAGGTTTAGTGTAGATAAGGTATAGGATTTTGCACAGGGTCGGCGCTTCAGTCCTAATAATGGATGATGCATGCCTCCTGAGGCCTCCGTCGGATCCCTGGGCGAAACTCCTCACCATCCCGTGGCCGAAGAACATCAATGAATGGGGCCGGCACAACTGGCAAAATTCAGAAAGGTTATGCATTTCAGGGTCTTCAAAAGAAGAGATGGACAGAGAGAGATGTTCTTTTAAGATCACTAGGAGCAAGGACGCTACTTACTAGGGGCTCCTGGCCTTACTGCTAGGAGCAAGGACGCTACTAGGAGATATGTTCTTTTAAGATCTTTTAAGATCCTAGATTCAGCAAATCCCATGTTTTGGCAGCTTTGATGCCGTGGGAGGTGCCTCTAGGCCGTGTGGATACCATGCACAAAGCCCATACGTCCTGCTGCATACTGCATACTCGCACAATTCGTTTTGCTGTACAATGACAGAAACCATACATAAACATACGGTAGCTGACATCCTGCTGCTGCTGCTGCTGCTAAAAAAAGGTTCCAGCTCTCTGATGTTGAAGTTTAAATATTACATAATGTTACATTGAAATTTCATTGAAGTACACTTGAAAGACGGTCGAGAAGTTAGGACAACGTGTCATATAATATGTTACTGGAGTTTCTCCAGCTGCCGTTTTGGGGTAACAACAGCTTACAACTCCAGCCAGGCTACAAAGAACGCTTTGGTCTGGCCATCCAAAGTTGAAAAAGGGCTGGATTCGCTGCATGTCCAGCAGTCAACGGCAGGAGTTTGGGCCTTTGTAAATGACCTGAGTTTGCATTTGTGGCTAAAGACAGTTGAACTTGGCAGCCTTTGCCTGAGGTACTACGTCAGGGTTGCTGATGGCATCTCCACGTTCGATCCTAACGAAGCTCTTGCTTGATTGCAGCCTGCTTGCTCACAGTAGTTATCCATATATATGTATATAGCATTGTCCAGCAGCACTTCGGATGCCGTGTGCAACCAAAGCTGTTCCAGGAAAAGTGCACGCGAGGTATTTGCAGAAGTCGCTAATCTTACGCTGGACAGTTGAAGTGGATCCTGTTGTTTATGCAAAGACACTGCTTGATAACTCTTTTAGGACTGTCTGCAGCCTCCCACGATTGTACAAAGACATTTGAGTGCCTTCTCAGCTTGTCACGATTCACGACAGTATATTTCGAACATTTCAAGCTTGAAAGAGCTGGAACTCCATGGATGCAAAGATAGCGCAGTTGAATCACAGAATCTAGAGTGGGGAAAGGAATGGAAGCAGACATGTTGCTGAGCGGAACCAGCAGACCCATATCAGATCGCTGAGCCGAAACTACGCGCGCTGTAAACTGCAAGCAGCACTAGAAACCGTGTCATGCCTGCGTTCTGTCTCATGTGGATGGCATGTCGTCGCCTACATCATCCCAAACCGGAGGCAGCCTTGGGGTCTTTGCCCAAACCGAGCTGCTCGTTGCCAGAGATTGGTTTCGTTGGCCTTCACAGGACCAGGAGCAGCGCCCAAATCTGCCTTGGCGCTGTCGTTTGATGCTGCCAAGCAAGTGGAGGAATATATCAAGGCCTTTGTACTTGCAGTTGCGAGGTGATCTTGTTGATTGATTGAATCTCTTCAGATTAGGCGCCTTCGTTGATCGATTTACATGTATTTCCATACATGATGTGAATGTGACATGTTCCTTGGAAGTGCCACTTTGAGCCTTCCGTTTGAACAGCCTAGCCTTTTGCCACTCCCTGGCCTGAGAGTCAGACTTGCAAGAGCCAATTGCGCTGTACTTGCAGATACATATATTATATATAATATATATAATACACAATTATACACGTATGCTCCATCGAAGACAACACACATGATTGTCTTTGTTTGTACCTTTTTGCATCCTCCGGTCCTCATTCACCAGGTTTCCAAGGAGACGAGTTCAGTGGCATTTGAGTTGGCTTGCATAGCCCAAGACCTTGGATCTTTGTGGCCCAACAAGTGACAGAGATGCACAGAGTTGTATGTATATAATGCTTTGCATCCATGAGCTAGGTTGGAACATTTGCTACACCTCCAAGGTACAATGATGAGAAAAGCACCGTGGCAGATCAGCCTCTTGCACTTTCAGAGCACTTGTGAGTTTGTGTGCAGTGCCCATCAAGTCTCGCATATGAGTATGGCCTAAAACTCTGGACCTCCATACCCAAGTGGTAAATGAAGCGCGGCCAAAGCTGCCAGTAGCTTCTTGTTGCTAGTAGCAAGAAGAACCTAATAGGAATGGCCTCCACCCTAATAGCGATGGCCTCCACCTGGTAGCTTCTTGTTACTAGTAGCCATGGCCTCCACCCCAATAGCAATGGCCTCCAGGCCTCCACCTAGTAGCTTCTAGCTACTAGTAGCTTCACTGATTTGCATTAATAATTGTACTAAGTATTGGCACTCTGCTGAGGCGGCTACTGGCGAAACGGGACAGAGTTCCAGTTGAGCGTACGTAACATGTACAAAGAACGCACTGATAGGGAAAGAACAATGTGAAACAGATAGAACCTGTCAAAAAGGAGGGTCAAACAGTCTAGGACCCGCTTCCTTCGAAGGTTCTTGAATGGAGCTTCCTTGAAGAATTGAAGAAGAGTGGCTACTTAGTAGTAGCTTAGCACACTCTTACTTTGTTTAGCCTTTGCTTATTTGTCAAAATACTGTTTAAAGACTTATTTTTTTAAGTATTCTTTTTAAATTGCTTAGGCTTACTCTATCTTATTTATGTTTCTGCATCCATAGAGAGAGCTCGGGTTCTTCAAGGAAGCTTCTGACAGGATGCACAAAAAGGGACAAACACATTACACATTGCTTAAAATAGATAAAACAATAGATAGATATATAATTGTATAAAACAAATTTACACATATTAAGCCTAAACATTTGAACATATTAAGTCTAAACCATGTTAAACACTTTTATGTCAGGTCTCACCTTGACAATCCTCAGATGCCGTTTCCGTCATCGGTGATGGACACTTCCTCAGGCTGATCAAGGACATCGTGGGAGACAGGACGAAGCACTGTATCTTTGTACCACCGCACTCACTACACTCCAGGCACTCCAGGTGTATGGCCTGTGTAGCTTCTCTCAATCAAGAATCCAAACCTTGCTAAGCCTCGCAGGAAGTCATGATTATATAAATAAATATATGTAATATATATATTCTTTAGAGGTGGTTGGATAGGCCGTAAGAGGAGGCTTAGGCAAGCTACTGTACCAGTACTCGTAGCTGGAACGCAGGAGAGGCGAGTTGGCGAAGTCCTTGCTCTATTCATTTGGTTCCTAGATGTTTAGGAAAACTTAGCTCTGACCGTCTGACCAAATCTTTTGAAGGTCCGATTTTTCAGAGTCAACAAGTTGCTGGCTTAGACGTTTTGAGTGAACACTGTGAACATCACCAGGATCCCCTACACATTTGGCAAGAGAGCTTCTGACACCATCCCTGAAGGTGCACATGCAGACATGTCCAGTATTGGCAGTATGGCTTCGACACCCTTAATTTTTTTCGGGGCAAGGTAGGCCATAAAGTCATAGAGGGTAAGTTGATGTAAGTAGTAAGCCAAGTACTAAGAGCTTGGAAGCTACTACACTAAAGGACGCAGAAGGAACTTTTGCCTGCGCGAATTCCTGGATTTTAGGAGTACAGCGGTCACTTAATAATTTTCCGATGGTGCAAGTTGCGTTACATTGTTAGTATGTTATTGTGCTTTCACATTTACCCACAGGTTTGAGTGTTGAGAATCCTTGTTAGCACTGAGCCGCCAGGCTTGGCAGCGTTGGGCCAATTCTTTGCTGAGGACAGAGTTCAAACCAGAGGAACCTCTCTAACTACGAAACCGGCAAACAGGTGGGAATGGGAATGTTGAGTCTTTGCCTGTCAAGGACCCACGACACTTTGGTGTCCGGCTGTCGGCCCTCTACACCGGCAGCAATTTAATCCAGGAGCCCCAAACTTGCGAAAGATTGCCGACGAAGAGGTACCATGCGGCTGATGAAGTCCACCACTTCATAGCAGCAGGGTGCAAAAAAAACACAAGTTTTGGAGATCAGTTCATCCAAACCAAAGCTGTCATCTCAAAAGCCTGACAATCGCAAAAACTTGATTTTGGAACCTTCAATCTCTCAATGGCTCGTGTCAATTCCCTCCAAACCCAAAGGAGCGGAAGAGAGTGGTACCGGTGCAAAAAGATTTGGAGATGGAGAGCGAGGATGCTGGAGAAGCTGTTCCACGGGTTTGGGTTCTGATGCGCGGTCGGCGAGGGCTTGCTTTCAATTACTTGGAGAATCAAACACACAGATTCTTTTCTTTTTCTGAAACTTCTGCTATGGAGGACTCGTCTTCCGACTCCTCTGCATGGAGCACTTCAAGCGAGGAGTCTGCTGAGGCCTTAGGCCTTCGGGAAAAGTTTTCACCGGATACAGTAATTCAATTTGCATAGGATTGTATTTCTTGGCACGTAACGACACACGCGGATTTCCCAGCAAAGCACCACCAAACAGAGTGTGGACGTTTTCGTTGCGAGTGATCTGCCACAGCCACACATACTCAATGAGTGGAAGCAAAGCCACGCAAGGTGCCTGTGTATTGGCCTCCACAACAGGTCATTCCAAGCAAAGCACTGGACCTTGGAGTAGCCAAAAACACAGGAGAAAAGCCATGTAACCGTAACCTAGCAGCGAGCATGCAACATGTCCCGAAAGCTTCAACATGAGTGTTCATACATTGCGAGAGGAAGATTGCTTTGACGGCCAGCTGAAACGGGGTTGTGCCGTTGAAGATGTTGGGTCTCGGCTCAGCACAGCGGGTTCTTGCGGAAACCTAATATAGAATAATATAGATATATTATATTTATACATAGAATAAAAACACATATTACTGATGTCAATATGGATGTAGCAACTACAAGGACATTTGATGAACTTTGGGTGGCGCATGCATAGGCGTTCGTAGGCTGTAGGCACTTGCCGTAGGCAACCATAGATATCATAGATCCATTGAAACAACATGCCTTGAAGTCGCCCTGCAACCTCTGATCCAACAACCCCTACTCACTCCCAACATCGCTGACACCGCCCACCAAAAAATCATTTTATTCTTCCATCTGACGTTTTCCGTAGGGTCTCCGTAGGTTCTCCACAAGGCCGCCACTGTAGGCAAAAGTTCATTTTGTGAAACCTGGCTGATTTCAACCCGGCTACTGTAGCACTCGCAAACAATGCAGAAAGTGGGAGCGATACTGTAGTATATTCTGACTGGTTCTCAAGCCAAGCGCCAAGCCCCTCGTCAATCTGAAGGACAAAGGATCAGCTGCTGCAAAACCGTTTTCAATCAGAAGAGCTGCATGTACTGCCGCAGGCTCTCACTGTGGAACCCTATGCAAACCGACAAACCGTAGGGTTCTGCGTAGGCACACATAGAGCATAACATTGCTGGATCAACAGGAATCCCGAGCCAACCACTTGGACCCAGACACTTTGGAAGAAACCCTTTCCGAAAGCTTGCAACAGGTGATGCAGTGGATTTGTGGAGCATCTTCCTGCACATATTGGGTTCTGGTGTCCAAAAGAGAGGACGCATTGCAGGAAAGTAAGGTCCAGCCTCCGGATGCCGGCAAAGATTAGGAGGAACAAAAGCGCGAAAAGGTTTGTTCGCTGGTTAAGAATCTACGGACGTAGTCATAGCGGCTGAAAAGCATCTGTGTCTGTGTCTGCAGCGTTTGGTGGCTTGTGAATGGCCCTTTTGGAGACATTGGCCAACACTTGGCTGCTGTGATTCCCACTGCACTGCCCCTACTTGTTGAAAAGCTGGTCCATTTGTTGAAGGACCTTGCAAGAACAGATGACGCAGTTGGATATCGCCCAGAAACAAGACGGGCAGCTACGTTCCCGGAAATGCATATTTGGCATCGTGCACTCAAGTAGGATGCTTTTGTGCATGCGCCTACAAGAGCAGCTTTTGACATGATTGCAGTGGGAACAGAGCCAGCAAATCTTTGTCCCGGCCTGACCACTGGATGAAACGATGCAAAACAATTGGGATGCAGCCTGCAAGCTGAGAATACGCGCTTTTCCTACTCTTTCTTTGACACATCATAACTCAAGGAACAGTTGCGAGGCTTTGGATGCCTTTGTGTAATAATTATTTTACAAGCATTTACTGCACATACATTGCCTTTTCATTGTTTCCACATGGTTGCACCAATTGCCTCTTCATTGTTTGCACCATGGCGCCTGAACCAGCACCAGTGAGCCTAAACATCCCAGCTGGCTGAGGCCAACAGCCTAGAAAGTGAAGAGTTGGATGATTTTGATGCCCAAAAATGGCACCTTGTGGTGGATGAATTGCTGGAGCGCATCCAAAGCAAGGCTGCTCAACTGCCGGTTTAGAGCATTTTTGCAAACTTTATGAAATGATGTGAACTGCTACTTTGGATGGTCCTCAACATGTTCTCGTTTCGCATTCATTCCGATCTTGCAGAAAGAGTGGGAGACAATGGCAAAGCTACGGGAAATGCCCCTTGGCCGCAACCTATGCTCAACCGTCCTGTAAACCCTCCTGACGCTTTGGCATGAAATTGGGATTTTGGCAAGCTGCATCAAAGTACGTAGCATTCCGTTGTATTACTTATCTGATGCGCTTTGAAGCTTCATCCCTAAGAAGAAATAAGACCCCAAGACAAAACTACTGGAGTAGGGCCTTCTACTTTAAAGCACAGCCTTTCACAGAACTCTGCCTGGCCTAACACTTGACGACACACTCTGCCAACTCGAACCTCCAAAACACCTGGAGCCACTTGGAGGTACGTATTTAAAGATTCAGAACGTGCTGCCGATATTGTTCACGTGGAGGCAGCGGTCTCGATTGTCGAGTTGAACGCCGTGGGACAACAGGAAAATAGGCCCCTACTCTAAAGGGGAAGATACCTTCATCTTATTTTCCTTTCTTCTGTGCCTTGTTTACATAAAACATATTTGATGCGGTGTAGCCAGGGTCTGTTTGGCAAGGGTAGAGTTCTTGCAGAGAGCACGAAAGAGCCACTCGGGCAGGCCTTGGCAGAGCTGAATGACGAAGAGTTGCGGGGCTTCGACAAAACTAGAGAGGAGTTGGAGACGCAGGCAGAGCCACAGAAGTGCTGGCTGAATCTGTCCATCTAAAATCTGTCCATCCTACAAAAGGCCAAAGAGTAAAAGAGGACGGTCGGCTTTCTGAAAGGAGTTGCAATGAATGCACATGCCTCATGAATGTAGCACACTTCTAAACATTGGTAGTCAGACGATTACACTTCTCACGCAGAATTGGTTTCAACATGTGATGGGTGAGATGAAATTAGTAGGCGAGCAGAAGATTATATAACTAGAATGACATCAGATTGATTGCATCCCGCTGGCTTCGTCCTGGGCTTGAGATGGAACTGCTCCACTCTTTTCTTGTATTTAGTATAGATTATATAGTATGGGACTCACTATCAATTACCATTGAGCTTTCCTGAATGTCCTCTACTTGCTTCTTTTCAAGGAAGAAGAAGTGGGAGTTACCTGGGAGTTCACGGAAGCACCAAGCAGAACAAAACTCGCAATTTCTTGTAAATTTTGGTAGGCGTATCGCATCGTGTCGCCCAGCCAATATCTACTGTAGTGAATCTAGTGACGTGGAGCACAGGCACGCCTAGGCACGCTTTCTGGACAAGCCTTCGACGCCATGCCACCAAAAGAAAAGGAATCCTTCACGGCCAAACAGCAGCGCCTGAAGCAACAGCAGGAGTTGGTGGAAGATGAAACAACTGCAGAACGCATTGAGCGTGAGATGGCGGATGAGATCAACGCCCAAGCAGAACAGAATGCCTTCAAAATCCCGCAATGGGTAAACATTGCAGGAGCACTGCTGGGGGTTCTACAGCTCAGCTACAGAATAGAACAAGAGCGGGAGCGCAGGGCAGATGACTACTTTGCAAATCCAAGGCCTGAAATTTATTCCTTCGTGGCTTCGATGTCATTCGAGGTCGGAGTGGCATGCCTCATTGCAATTAACTGCGTCCTGCTGGGCTATCAAGCATCTTTGCCAGACGGAGAGAATGAAATGCTGTTTGACATTGGTGAACACATTTTTGTTTCGCTCTTCCTCTGCGAATGGTTGATGCGAGTGCTCGCATTTGGCTGGGTCTGGGTTTTTGAGTTCTCCAATGCGGCAGACACGATGATGGCTGCTCGATTGGTTCACTCTTCAGCAGGTCAGGTTTCATCAGTTCTTTTCAACTGACTAATAAAATCAGAAATTGCCGTGACCAGAATCAACCCCTGAAAAGCCGTCCCAGTCCTTGACAAAACAGAACCTTGGACACGACACTTCCCTGTCAATGCTTTGATCTTGACCTTATGAAGTTAAGTTTCCCTAAAAATCTAGGAACCAAATCATAAGCGTAAACGTCCTAGGTAGGAGCGAACTAGTTGCCCTTACTTAATTGAGTAGACGCCCCGGGCTACAAAGATGTACCAAAGTTGGCTGAGGTCTTCATTTTCGGTGTATTCCCGAAATGGGTGCTGGACCCATTGGGAATAGATGCAAGCACCATCCGCGTCTTCACAGTCTTAAGAGCCCTTCGACTAGCCAGATTGGCACGTGCCGTACGGATGAAGCCACAATTCAAGGAGGGGCACTGAAGGCTTGTGTTTTAGAGAAGATGTTGTCAAATGGGCCTAAACTTACAGTACCTCTGATATTGTAAAGTCACACTTGCCTTGTAATCTGTTCTTGGACATTCCTGATTAATTACATAGGCTCGGCATTTCACAATTTCAATATGTTTCCTTATTGTACCGATAGCATCCGATAGCAGTCATTCCTGCTGGGCTTGCCTCGTCGCACTGGGCCTGAGCTGGGCACAGTGTGTCACCAAGCAGAGCTGCCTCCACTGAGCTGCATCAACCGGTGCTCTCTTTGGCTGCTGCATTGTCTCCTTCTTGCTTTTCACTTTTCACTGAAAAATGTAAAAGCTATGTTGGTTGTCTGACTTTGTCATGCCCGGAGTCATGCCCTTCCTTTGCTTGAATTCATGGTCAATCGCACTGTCTTGTTTCACTATGTCACTATGGTTTCCTTGGCATCGCAAGGTCCTGTGGCTCCCTTTGTTCTAGTGACTCCAAGTTGCACGGTCTTTAGTACCCAACTTAAGTAGCTGAATGTCCGATTTTCATACTGTAACACGACGATACAAAGCGCTGCAGGGTCACCAGTCCTCACGTCCAGGAGCTCTGGATTCTGATCCATGGGTTGACGACCTCCTTTCGACCATTGATGTGGACCGTGTTGATTGCAACCATTGTTTTATACCTTGGAGGCCTAGCAGCCACTGAGGCCATTGGCAAGGCTGAGATCTTCAAAGGTGATCCAGACATCGAACTATTGTTTGGGGATTTGCTTAAGTCTATGTACACAATGATTCAACTTCTGACTTTGGATACCTGGGTGGATACCATTGCACGCTTTGCCATTGACCCAAGCCACAACATAAACAAGGAATACTGGGGCGATCGGGCCCTGGAACAACGCAACGCATTTTTTCCTTACTCACTGTTCTTCATTTTCTTTATTGGCATTGGTGTCTTCGTCTTCTGGAATCTGATTACGGCCATCATCGTGGAGACCGCCTTCGAGATTTCCGACGCTGACTCCAACTCGCAGGCGCGTGAGATTGAGATGGCCAAAAAGGCTGAGATTGAGAGCCTAACACAGAGCCTTGGCATCTCTTAGAATGCACCCCCAAAAGGCTTGGTGATTGGATTTTCCAGGTTTGCTTGCCGCAGTTGAACAAAACAGACGGCTTCTATCTTCCATCTCTGCCGACTGTAGAAAGTCTTTGGTCTTTCAAGACAAAGAACTCTTCGGATATCATGGACACGTCATTGTATGCTGTTCTTGTTCTGTCCTTGATTGATCTCTCAAGGATCTTTCTCGAGATTGACAAGGACCATTCAGGTGAGTTGAGCTTCGCGGAGTTCGAAGGGGCCCTGAATATCCCCAAAGTCAGGCGTGGAAAGCATCAGAAAACAAAGCAGAGGGACCAAGCAACAAGTGGCATCAACTGTTTTGGCTGGTCATTGCAGACCTTCTCTTCAAAAACAAATCTTCACCAAACCGCAACGCGTTGTAGCGTGCACATTCAATTGGAAAGACCTTTGTGAGGCCAGCCACATGTTGAACTCACTGTAAGTAAGTGTAAACATTGCCCAATGTCCAATCGTCACTATATATTATATACATGTATAGTTGCCGAGCATCCAACATATGACATGTATCACAGGTAACGGCATGGGCACTGTAGCTGAGGCTCTCGAACTTGAAAGATACTATGAATGATGCCAGATGTTTAAATCACGCCAAGGCAGATGCTGGACGTCCTTGGAGTGCAGGCAAATGAATTGCAAGAGGTTTGGTATGTCCTGGATGATGGCGACAATTGTCTTACCATCAAGGAGACTTTAAAGTTGTCCGTGTCAATTCTGCCTGTTACAGCTTCTATGTGACACAACATCGCATAATCTCCCTCACCCGTAGACAATCATTATACCAACCCCACGCTCGAATCTATCCTCGTCTACGAGAATTGGCCCGTTCCGTGGCTTCTGCAAGATATCATACTGTAATCCTTGGCCCAAATACCAGTTGCAGTAAGAAAGTGAAAGGCTAGACTGCTGCTACTTCACCAGGGTTGAAATAGTCGAGAATAGCTGTAGAGCATGCACTGCTACAACCCTCCTGCTAGGGTAGTGATTGCGCAGCTCAAGCTTGTAGATCGTAGAAGAACAGATAAGGGTTTCAAGAGGTATTTTGCAGTTGAGAGACTTCGGCGCCTTTGGCGGTTTTCTCTGCCATGCAGGAGTTCACAACAGGAATACGTCGGATGCGGGGCCAAGCGAAGGCGAAGGCCATGGCAGACCTTGGCAGTTCAAGTCAAAGACGAAGAAACGTAGACACATGATGACACATGTATAAATAAATTAATAGATAAATATATATATATATATGTTACATTAAAGAAATATGCAATATGACTGGCTTTCCAACACACTTGGACTGTCAGGGCCCTTGAGCTCAATTGCCAACGGAGACAAAAGGCGGCCTGCACTACTACCGAGCTTGCAGTAAAACAGATTAGAACAACAGAGCTGCTTTGAGTTTTTCATGGTAGCGGAGCAGTGATCTTGGAAACATCCAGGTGAGCTCCAACACAAAAAAGCACACAACAAGCAAGGAGCAATTGGGTAACAGCCCAATCAGCCAAGCAAGACGTACATGGACACAAAAAGAGCAAAGCAGCACGCGAGACAGGCAGAGGCCTTGGTCCCAACCATTTGGGGTGTGGGGGACTCTCAGCAGAAGCAATGGCAACACACGGCACCAGCACCGCAAATGCAACAGGAGCGCAGAACGACAAGCTGCGAGCTTGGCAAAGCAGTACTCTACCTGCTCCCAACAGCAGAGAACGTGCCAAAGATGAGAGGAAGCAAAGCTCTTTCTTTCCAGCCATCTGGTTGGGAAAGGACACAGCAACAAATCAGAACATAGTTGGTATCAGAAGCAAGGTGGTCAGAGCAAATACAACTACCAGGAGACAAATACAACAGACATTTGATTTTGGCATCATCAACGCCACACCGTGGACATCATCTCCCTCAGCAGCAGGCATTGTGCTTAGGCCAGCACATCAGAACTTTGCGTTGGTGGCAGACGCCGCCAAGAAGGAGAGCACCGCGCCAGCAACACCGCCAGCAAGAGCAGCTCTTACAGTGTCACGAAAGGCAGGAATGACAGACGACGTCGCTGAGGGCAGTGCCGCAAAGCGGCAGCGCAAGACTCAGCTTGAACATCGGCCACCAGCAACAAGATGACCTGGAGATGAAAACGGAAACGAATGTCCCTGCTCCATGAAAGGACAACAGGTTTACACAGAAGTACCTTTCAGCCACCGCAATAGAGAGCGACGAAGCAAGGTCATCAAGTCTTGATGGACCTTCGACAGAAGGGAGACACAGTTCGACCACGGATTGTTGCAAAGGGGCTGCGCAGAGGATGTCAAGGGCAAGGATGACAATTACGCATCACCGCCAATCTTCGCATCGTGCGATTTCTCTTCACGCTTGCGTCGTTATCCTTCAACTGGACAGTCAGACCAGGGGACACCTCGAAGGCCATTAATTTTACTTACACAACCTCATCACCAGAGGCAGCCTAGCAGACAGCTATGCGGCTACACGGCAGAACTTCTCACAGTAACGCAGCGTCGGCCCCTGGACCAAGCGCGCGCAAAGCAACGGCAATGGCTTAAGGCCGAAGACAAGACCAGAAATATGCTACGCAACAAAGGAGTTGGCGAGATCACACGCAGAGCCAACAGCGCGAGATCAACAGAAATTGAACCATCTCTTGAGGTACACCAAATGAATGCAGCGCCAAGAGTACTACGGTCAAGGCAGGGGCAACGAAAGCGCTACGCATCTGCAACCCCTACAGGAGGCCCCCAGATGAAAAACTTCAACGTACGAACTCGCGCCGAACCGTCCAGTGGAAAGAGCATGGCGGCGATCAAAGAAGCAAAGCGCACCTCACCCAAACTCCTATTGGTTGCACAACAGCTGATCCTTCACGACTTCGCGAGGTTGATCAGGAATCAACGCGTAACACTGCTGGCATCTCCGCCAAGTACATTGCGACAGAGACACTCTTGCGTCGTCTGCGCGGTGCTGGGATCACCGCCGTGCATCAACGAGCATCTCCAGCGACAACAACAAGCAGTTTCGCCACAGCTCGCGTACAATACATGTACAGCATGCGTAAAGGCATGTACAGGCGCATGACGGCGCGCGCGCGTGCGCTCGCTTCTGAACCTGTTGAAGACAAGATGTCTCCAGGAAACGTTGGAGCGGCGCTTCTCCTCAACATGTCGGCCAACATGGGCCAACATGAAAGATTCATCATGAATGTAGGCAAGTTTACCACGCGTGAGCAATCTATGTTTCATTCGTTGGCGGTTTCACTGTCAACTTGTTGACAACAAGACGCTTTTGACGATCGTCGCAGCCTTGTGATGTGTGCGATAGCTCTTGGTTTCTCTTTGAGAGTGGCTAGCTTCAACAGCTTGCCAACGCTATGAGATTGAACGTACCCCACCTTGGAGTCCGACCGCCTTGATCTTGACCCCAACAAGCACTTAAAGTGCACCTTCCAGCTGACGCAACTCTTCACGCTTGCCGTCAACATTCTCACTGCAGCGAGCAAGGGCAGTTGCAAGTGCTTCCAGAGGGGCGACAGTATGACTTGTTTCAAGTCTCGCGCAATAGGAGCAAGTATGTCTTCGCCAAGGACAAGCTGCAATCCTCATTGTGGGTGCCATCGCAGGGGCTGCTGTTCACCTGCCTTGTGATCATTGTCACTGCCTCCATTATACGCGGCAGCGGGCGCTCCGCCATCAATGAGCGCAAGGCAGCGCAAGGATTGGCAACACCTCCAGGGGGGGCTTCAATCTCAGCCGTCAAGGGCAACCTCAGTCCCCGGACCAGATGGCGGGTCATCTGCAGGAAGAAGATCAGAGTGAGACAATGGAGCCTCCGGAGAGACCGAATCGAGTGAGCAAGAAGACTGCATGCTCATCAGAGACTCAGAGACGGCCAAAAAAGAAAGGCAACGATGGCAACAGGATCGACTGCGGTAGTCAATAGTATAAGTAAGCCAGAAGGCCTGTACAGGAGATGATCCAACAACCATGCTTGCTATGCAACATTTTTTCACGAGGACAACAAATTGGGCCGTGTAAAGATGCAACATGGTTTTCCAGCACTTGGACATACTTGGACTGTCAGGGCCCTTGAGCTCAATTGCCAACAGAGACAAAGAGCTGCACAACAGAATTTGCAGTGAAACAAACAGAGCGTACAGAGCTGCCTTGAGCTTTTCAACCGCAATACAGTATATTATATAGGACTTGTTTATCGGATCGTATCACACTCACTTACTTGCAGTTCTCACCGTTTTTTTGGTATGGTTTCATAATTGAACCGTTGATTTTTGGCACAGGATCTTGCAGACACTGTGAAGCGTTTGCGCCTGGCCACGCGGAGTGTTGGGGAGCTCTTGGCACAAGCAGACCAGTTCCACAGGCAGTGTTTTCAACGCTGTCAAATAGCTTCGCGCAAGTGCGTGGGAATATTCGGAATACCCATCTTCCCAGATGTTGCGGCCCCCTACGACCGTATGTGATATGTGACACGGTATTTTACAAGTATTTTGGAAAGAGTTTGTTTGATGCTTGGGCTGAGTGTTTGAGCTTCTTGATTGGTCCAGCTTGGGCCTGGTTATGCATATTGGTTGGTTTCTTGTTTTGTGACCGCCTGCCATGTTTGTGGGGGGGCAGTTCCTGTCCCCTAGCTTGCCGACAGCCAGGCCTTGCAAAGACTACCCCACTGTGGCAACATAGTCAACTACTAGGTTGGTCAGGTTTACCAACTTTGTTTCAGGTGCACAGCGTTTTGAGGTGATGTGCTGATTGTCTAGATATCAGTCATGGGTTGATGCCTTCCTCAGCCTCGGGCTGGTGGGGTTTCCCCAGCATACGTACATCGAGTGGCATGATTTTGGCAGTCCAGGAGAGGCCAACTTCGAAGGATCCAGAGATAATGGAAACAATGTGCGCACATCGGAATTAAAACACCCTCTCGGAAAAACAACAATCAAGAATAAACATTGGACCTTATAATTTGCACGAATCAACTTGGGAAAATGGGAGTCCTTGGTGAGATGTTTTTAAATTTTATTGCGTGATGGTGCCGGATGATCGCAGCAATAACAAGTGTCAAACCTGAACAACTGCACTGCTTTGCTCTTGTTCTGTGCTGACTCGCTCCTGGCAGTGCAATCTCCTACATCGAAGAAGAGTGCAACCGGATCTCTGATGACACTGGACGAATGGTTGGCCTTTTCCACGAGATGTATCACAGGCGTGGAGCTGCCAGGGTGCCCCTTGCCATGCCAATCTCAACACTGGACTCATCAAAAGGCCTCTTGAGAGAGAAGAAGAACATGAGGTGACCAGTGCCTCCTTACTATTAATAGCGGAGGCCTCCAACCTAATAGCGATGGACCTTACCCTTTTTTTGCCTCTACATGCTACGTGTTGAAGTTCTCTCCAGACATCATGATTCCGCAGGCTTAATTCTCACCTGGACATTTGTCACAAGCAGAACATCCAGCGAGAAGCAGACAGAAAGAAAGCCAAGCTCAAGGCCTGTATCATTCCGAACTGATACTGTACTTACTCAGTCCCTTCTTTATCCGAAGCATCACTGGTTTTCGTTATGTTTGACAAAGTCCATTTGCCGATCAACTTGATTTGAAGGCATGCTTAATAACTGACCAAACCCAAAAGCTCGAGTTGACATGCTATGGGCCCTGCCACCTTCACGACTATGGGAATCCATCTCATTTCCATGCGCCCAACAGAATGCTTTGATGTTTGGGGAAAGAAGGAATTTGCGGACCTGGTGTTGTTGATATTACTTCGTTCAGGCAGCTCAAGAAGAGGCGATGAAGGCGGCGCTTCAGAACCAGGATGAAGATGATGAATAAGACTGCAAATCAACGAGAGAGCGCCTTTGTTCTTCCAAGGTCTTCAAGATTTGGCTTAGATCCTTTGTTGGGCCAACAGAGACTTGTGCCAGATTCTGCAGAAAATTCTCAGCATGGTACCCACTGCAAGACCTTTGTCATCTCAGATCACGACCACAGACTAAGACTCCGTGTTTGCAAGCTGTTGAATACAGGATGGGAGCAGTTTCTGCAAATGTTTTCCATCCCCACGCTTACGTGTGAGGTGTGATCATGTTTCACCAGGTAGCATCCTCCAAGAGGATTCAACATGTGCCATAATGTGAGAAAAATGACTTGCCCGCTGCAACAATGCTGGACCCTATCGCGACCTATTCTTTGGGTGAGTTATGGGAATAATACTCTTCCAATTCACAAGCCGTTTTGTCACTCTTCATCTCCGCTTGTATATGGATGGTCCAAGCTTTGTGCAACTCTTGCTGTGCCAGGTTGAGGTAAAGCAACTCGACCTGCTGCAAACACTCAGCACCTTCAACAACTCCTTAAAAGTGACCACTCAGGAGCCGCAGGGGGTGCCAACAAGTGTGAAGAGTCAAGAAAATAGAGAGGCTGTTGCAGCTATTTTGTGCGTAAGTGAAATTCCTGGTTCCTCAACTGAATCTCAGAGCTTGAGGAGATAATTAGAAGAAGAAGAGCAAGGGCGAAGGCCGCAGCTCGAAAGCGATTTAGCTTTGCCAACATGGATGAGCAACTTGGCTGCCTCCGGCTTGAATTTCTCAAGCCAAGGTTTATAGTTACAAAACCTTCAGCGGGCATGGTATTCGTATGGAATCTGTAGACCTAGACCTGGCCAAGTCAGCATGCTGCTAGTGGCATAGTGGCATAGCACAAAGAGCACGACCCACCAAGGGTCGTCCTGGTGGAGAAGCCATTCAGCTGCAGGGAGTGCTTCCAAAGCCAAGCACATCACACGTTTGTTTGATTCAACATTTTTTTGTCCTTTTTACAAGTGAAGATCACAGCAGCTCTCGTGTGAAGATGTGTACGGCCATGGGAATGATTTGGACAGCTGGTTTGTCCACGCATTGTCCGGTTCCGTACAGCTTGTTTCTGCTATCATTGCTATCAGCTTGCCAAAATACACAGGGACGATCAAATGCGACCGCGCAATCTGCACTTGCAGGGACGAGAAGGTGGACGAGGAAGACGATGAAGAAGAGCAGCGAAAGAAAGCAGCGGAGGATCAGTGACACAGTGACAGACCGTTCTAAATTCCGGCAGAGTGATGGAGGCAAGCCAAACAGAACAGATACGACATGCCTCGAAAAAAACATGCAATTGGACGATCCACAATCCATGAGTGCGAAACAACATTTCTTTGCCTCCTCCCATGCGCAGCCATGCGCAGGAGGAGCGTGCAAAGAGAAGCAAAGCTGGAGAACTCTTGGCGCACATCTCCACACTACAACAAAGTACCTTGACAGGCAAAGGTTTGGGGCATGTGCCGTCACCTGGGAGAGGGGTGTTGCAGATAAAAATGTGCCAATTCTCCGTGTCATTGTTAGCTGTTCGTTCTTGGTTTTTCCAGACATTTAAGTCAAACGGCGAACATAAAGAATACCTTGCCAAGCTATCTTTACTAGAATACCTTGCCAAGCTATCTTTACTATCCGCCCTGTCTCTCATGTTATATCGATGCGCAATGATATTCTATGATTTTCTGCAACTAAAAGCTCTTAAGCTAGCTCTATCAATCCACTTAGGTCCGCAAACCGGCCTTTCATTGAACTCATTGCTGTTTTGCTTTTGCTTGGCCTCCTGACATTCGGGGTTGAGCTGAGTGCTTACAAGCAAAGAGACAACAACCCAACCAACTGAGGCATGAATGATTTGGTCAGCCACACTCATCAGCGGAAGCTTACATTGGACGTACACAACGAGGCCAACAAGTCCGTGTACAACACAGAGATATATCATTACCCTGAGAAGGTAGACGGCTAGCTCATCTGAACGGAGCTTTGGCAGGCTTCGACGTACTTGAGGCTTGCGATGGAGGCTGGTGCTGGGGCTGTTGTGGGCCACAATGCCGCTGGAGCTTTGTACAGGTTGGACGTTAGACTTAGAGGGAGTCTTAGAGGGTTGGCCTAAGTCAGTGCCGCAGGTTGGTGAGCACTGACAGTTTCGGAAGATAGAAAGGGTGAAGTCTTTGAGTTGAAGAGTGCAGGTGGAGGCTTTATCAGTTTAGGTATGGGCCGGTATGGGTAGAAAGGACGAGCAAGGAAGGGATGACGACCTAGTGCCTCTGGCCTCTAGAGAAAGTTATGCTGGTAGTAGGGGAAGGGTCAGGAGCCGTCGCAGGTTCTTTCGTGCGCAGGGTCTTCCTTTGTCAACTAGGAAGGGGTTTCTCACAATGGATCTTGTAGCCAAGAAGGAGCGAGGATTTGAGTTGAAGAGGGATCAGGAGCAAAGTAAAGAAAGCCAACTTTTGGCTGTTGAGGACCACTTCGAAACATCGTCTCGTGTAAATCTTGCATATCATGTCTTTTGACATGTAATATTTGCAAGAACCGTGAAATTCAAGCTATCCCCGCTCGCTGCCCTGTCAAACCACAAGACAAGGCCCCTTAAATCACAAGGCTGTTTGAAGACCTTCTTGTTTTATCTGGGAGTATAGTTTACAACTAAATTGAATCCACAAGGTCCAATTCAAAAATATATACGGCAGTCTCTTTTTTGGGGTAACTGACTATCCCATTTATCAACAGAGACAACATCAAGAAAGCCCACAAGGATTTGTTTTCGAGGGGCAATGTTTCCATTATTGTATGCATGAGGCCATCGAGGAGCTTATTTAGCGATATTTGGTAATGTAATGTATATCACGAAAGCCAGCCGACAGGCTAGGCTTGAGGTAGGGGAGCGAACGAAGTGAGTTAAAGGGGGTGTGGGGGGGGTGGTCGCGAGGCGTCCAATTTCGGAGAGGTGAACTCAGAGCCTGGTGAGGGAGAACGAAAAAAAGAGGAGGCCCGGAGGTAGTGAAAAATGAGTGGTTTTAGCGGTGCTGTGATGCAAGTGATGTAATTGACGGCGAAGAGTGCATCATCAGCATCATGAGGGGCTCAGGAGGCCATGGAAAGAGAACAGATAGTAGTTGCGGCCAAGCTTAGCGTTGCTGCCGGACTGAGGAGGGCACCCCCTATGCGGTGGGAGTTCACGTGGATTGGGGGGTTGTGTGAGGGCAGGAGAGAGAAGAGATTGCAGCGCAAGCGTTGGAGGCGGAAGGCTTTGAATTGCTTAGGGGTGCCCTTTTTTCTCCGTGGCAAGGTCTAGTTACTGGACTCAAAAGGGCACCCCATATAGAGTGCATGATGCCATCTGTTGAGGGCCTGTGAGAGAACTGGACTGAAGAGGGCACTCCCTCTGCGGTGAGAGTTCACGTGGAAGGGTTTGACTTGCTTAGGGGCGCCCTTTTTTCACTAGGAGGATGACTTTGTTGAGTAGACTACGGATTTCAAAAAGAAACGGGCTTCGCCGTGCCACTGTGCAAAACTGCGTTGTGGGGGGGGCTGTGCAAAGGTACGAATGACATGTGTGTTCTCAAGATCCCGACTCTGAGACGAAAGCTTCCAAAGCTGAGAAGCACCTCTCCCATGGGTGGACAAAACGTCCGGAAAATGGAAGCTCCACATTCGAGCAGCGAGTTGTGACGTACCACTGTGAAACGTGGACATGGACCATCGTCGCGGGTGCTGTGGCAGTGCACTGGCCATGACGGCTTAGACAACGCTGTTCGGTGTCAAGGGAACAGGGGCCCTGCAGCTGCACCGTTTTGGTGAGAGCATGACCACGCGCCCGGTGATGACAAACCAAACTAAGCAATCAGCTCTTGAATTTGTGCAATCTTCTTGCTGTAACAGTCACATGTGCAATCTTGTGCAGTTTTTGAACTGTTTTGTACTTCTGAGACTGCACGCTGCATCCATACCACAGAGGTTGGCAGTTTGGGGCCACTTCAAATGCCAGCTGTTGCTGGAAACCATAGCACTTGCTCCAAACTACATTCAAAGCTTGAATGAGAACAAGGGGAAATCTAATCACGAAAGCCAGCCAGCAACTCACTTGAAACATAGACCAACACACCATACCAAATCTTCCCCCGACTACAGGCTCCACAACGCCCCGACATCAAGACGCAAAAGGGCACCCCGTCCCAAACCTATGTATTCTACTGTCTATTTCCATTCTTTCTCAAGTGACGGCCATATCCACTTCACCACTTCCAGCTCCTCTGTGTCCACTCTACCTTGCTCTCTTATATACATATATATATAATATATACAGTATGTATATATATATATCTCTCCTCACGAAAGCCTGCCGATAGCCACTCCCACAGGCCCCCCACGACCGTCTTTGGCCACTGATTAGCAACACGCAGCCGGCAAACTCACATAAAGTCTTTGAGGGTGCCCTTTTTCACCTCCAAAACACCCCTGAACCTCGACGAAAAAGGGCACCACCCCTTTTACTGTTCTACCTTCTGTTTCTACCTCCTACGTATCGTGTACCTGCGATGCCAACTTCACCCCATAAAAGTACTCTTTACGCAATGTTAGCCTATCACTTCATCTTGCACACTCAAGTCGCTCCAATATCAACCTCACCACTTCCGGCTGCTCTTTGTCCACTCTACCTATGTACATTTACATATATGTATCCTCACCTACCCTACCCATAGCCTCGCACATGGACCCCCACAGCCATCTTTGCTCACTGATTCGCAAAACGCCGCAGGCAAGCGCCCCTCACTTCCTTGCCCTTTTTCACCTCCAAAACGCCCCTAAACCGGGACGAAAAAGGGCACCCCCCCCAAACCTATGTGTTCTACTTTCTATTTCTACCCCCTATCAATGTGACTACGATCTCAACTTCACCCCATGCATGCAAGTACTCTTGGCCCGATGTTACCCAATCACTTCATCTTGCGCGCCAAGTCTTTGCCCAGGTTTGCCATAGTGTGCCCCCCTGGAACTGGAAGTGGAACTGGAACTGGAACCCCCCCCCCGGATAAAAAATAATCATCCACGCTAAACTGACGTTGGCAATCACGTCCAGACTCGGACCCAGAGTTGGAACTGGAAGTGGAACTGGAACTGGAACTCCCCTCCCTCCTCCCCAGTCTTCCGTGTTGGACGACGTGGAACTGGAACTGGAACTGGAACTCCCCTCCCCCCTCCCCAGTCTTCCGTCTTGGACGACGTGGAACTGGAACTGGAACTCCCCTCCCTCCTCCCAGTCTTCCGTGTTGGACGACGTGGAACTGGAACTTTCGTCCCCTCCCTTCTCAGGTATGTATATCTTATATATATATATTACTGTACACGCACATGGGAGGTTGCAATGGACATCCCGCATGTTTCATGGTGCACTCCACTCAGCCGGACCTGAAAGTGATTTAGACTGCAGAGTCTCGAGCTGTTCTGCAAAAATGGCAGGTTTCCGCTGTTATGGAATATGTCACCTTATAACTTTCTGTCCGCATACAGTATTATATCCACCATTCGGAAGTCAAACGTCTCCATGTATATACTCGAAAACATCTCCATGTACTCAAAAACATCTTCATGTACTCAAAATCATTTAATTTGTTTAGTTTAGTGCTCTCTTCAGCAAATTTGGCACAACCCCGTAAAGCCTGCATCATCAGATCTTCCAATTTGACGCCGCCTCTATGTGCCCAAAACTGCTTTGCACTTATTTTGCAGGGAATTCAGCTTCCCCTCAAAGCCTCTTGGGGCAGGGGCTAAATGCTGGCCATTTTATTACACTGGTGTCCATTGTACAAATTCTCATGGTGTTGCTCGTTCAACTAACTAGTGGTAGTTAAATGTGTGGATTGGGTGTTTATGCTGGCCCCGTACCTGCAGCTGACTTGTTTGGCTTTTCAATAATTCACGTTCATGTGAGCTTTGAAGCCTCTAACATGACCCATGGAGCCAGGCTACTGAAGGAGGCACAGAACTACCAACTGCGACAGAGGCTGCCTTTCTTTCAGCGAGGGGATGGTTGGTAGCACCATTATTAGATTCTGTCAATTTAATCAGTGCTTATCCAAACTTTGGCCATCCAGAGGTCAAAGGCTTTCTTAGGTACGCCAGGTACGCAACACCCCACATCGGTTTTCTTCGAGGGTTTTGAGCAGTGCATCCAAATGTCTTTGCATATTCCTTGCCATGATGCATGTCAGAGTGAAAACCAGGAGGTCCATGAGCTTCTGAAGAGTATGCAGAAGGAGGTCGGGAGCAAGCATATCAACCATTTTCAGGGTGTCATGGAGAAGTATATTCTGAAGATGCATTTTTCAGCCTCACAAGCAGCGTCTTCCTTCCAGGCACGGGAGGCCTTCGAGGTAGAGAAAAAAGCAGCCGAAGACGTACGCCTCCAAGAAGTAGCACGACAAGAGAAGGTTGAGGATGTCTCGAAGGAGCAATGCCTGTTGGTTATTCTTGTGCACATTGATTGTGAGTAATTTGCGCAATGTTTTGCAATGTTGCCAACTCCTTTATACGTTTTTGTTGCCGTTCGTTGCTCTTGGCTATATGATGTGGATTGCGGGCAAGGCTGGGAGTGTTGCCTTGCACCTGATAGGACCATCTTGCAAAGTTGTCGCCGGATGAACTCAAGGTGCCATTCATGAGCACTGACCCACCAGGGATTTCTGAAAGTGAGCGTCCAAACTGCAAGCTGTTTCGACGTTTTCTCTATCAATCTTAAATGTTTAAAGGTAATATGGTTAAATAAAGCAACATCAAGGAAGCTTCCTGAGAAAGCCGATCCACTGCCAGGTGATGCTTACAAGATCTGAAGACGATGTTCAGCTTCTTCACAAGAAGGCAGAGGCCAGTTGGACAGTGTTAAAACAATTGTCCGAGGCCATCGCTATTAGGTTGGAGGCCATTGCTATTAGGTTGAACACTGAAAAAGGCCGGCTTTCGGCATTCGCTTCTTTCGGCCTTAGGAGCTGGAACAGGCCAGGATTGCTCAGGCCAAAGGCGGTGCTGACCGGATTCAGACGCTCCGCAAAACATTTTATGAAAAGTTGTGGTGTACTTATTTGGTCTTTCTCTCTTCCTTTCTTCCTTTTATCTCTTCTTTACACCTTTGGACTCTGGACTCTTTTTCCTTTGCAACTATCTTTTTTTCCTTTCTCTCCACCAAGCAAATCATGGGATCGGAGAGGAAGACACGGGGAGACTGGGAGACAGTGATGTGAGAGTTCTGATGCCTTTGCGCTCAGGAAAGCACAAAAAGCAGTCACTTGGCCTTCTTTGTGTACCTTCTCATAGGTCTGACTTTGTATGCTGTTGTAAAGGAGCAACTATCACAGTAATTAACACACTACAATATATATATATATATATTATATATATTATATATATTATATTATATATATACTCATAAGACGACGCGTAGGTTTAAGTTAAGAGAGCACATGCCATTTGTTTTACACCTTTTTGCGCGACAGTGAGATAGCACTTACTCGCAAACAGATAATTGCAGTACCAGGATCCTGATCCCAAGCCTAAAGGATCCCTGCAGCTGACCTGGGCCTTCTGCACTCTTGCAGTCTCAACGAAGTCTGTTTGTCGGCCTCCTGAGCTCTTTCCACGCAGCACCACTCTTTCTATATACGGATGTCGGATGGAAGATCAGCAACAAGGCTCATGCATGGCCTACCTGCTTAGATGCCCTTGAGACTTTCCAACTTAGGCCCATTACTTTACGCCGTGGCGGCGGGATAATTTTGGTTGCCAAGCATGGCTCATTGGATACACTGATGATTGCTGGGCATTGCCTAGCCACAAAGACAGCTTGCATATACATCAACGAAGGACTAGCTGTCCTTCCCGAACTTCATCTGCCAAGAAGAAAGTCCATGTGTCTCCCGGGTGAGTGTTTCACTCAAGAATTCGTCCTCAACACTTGAGCGAGCGCAAGCGCAGTAGAAGGGGAACATAGAATAGGGATGAGTGGGAGTGAGTGGGGAAGTTTGAGCCAACTTGTTGTATGTTTTCTCATGCTGGCACATCAGTCTATATACTGTAAGCTTTTGGCGGAGCAAGCCGTTTGGGCGGAGACACTGAGCCTCGTGATCGATTTGAACTTTAACTTTCGGCCGAGCGCGGCAAAGGTGCAAATGGCACAAACTGCTGCGGCTTCGGGGAAAGGACCTTGCTGAAGTGTTGGATTCTGGAGCTTTGATCAGTCACAACCCAGCCAACCAGACACCCTTTTGACACATGTGTTTGTTGGAACAAATTTTGGAACATAGTGCGCCCTTAGCCACTTCGTGACGAGTCGAAAACATGTTTTTTCGCAGAAATATCAGGGGTTCCATAGCTGTTTATGCAATTTCGAACCTGTGGTAGGAGATGGTCCTTCAGACTCTGGCAAGAACATAAGGCATCCTTGCACATTTGGTTTCAATCTTGGTATGATTGCTCCAAGCCAATGTGAACTGAACTTGTCCAGACGCTTTAAAATCAGTTTATCTTATCGCCCGTGACTTGATAGTAGGTACTGTATGCGGTTTGCGTATTACAACTTATAACTTTGACCTACGAAAAGAACTTTTTTATTGTCCAGAAGTGTGACTTTCCCGCGTTGTGTTTGGCAGTCGCGCGCTGGAGCCAGACGTCAATCGATGCTTGGGTTCAACACTTGCGATTTACCAAGATTACAATTTGCTGCGCACCATTGTCATTGTCGCGCCATAGTTTTTCTAGTATGCTACCCTCAGCGTCGTTTGCGCAAAACAGTTGTTTGCGTTCTGGAGAGATGAATTCGTTATCAACATACTAATTTGCATCAGCTCCACACCGCCTCAAGGTAAGCACCACCAAGAGGAAAAGATACCACCTCATCAACTGCTTTCGAAGTTGGAAGATCAGATTCCAGCTGCAAAGAAGGCCAAGCGGCGCTGAATGGGATGCCGGTGCACTCCCAGTTCAACGTTGCAAATTGCTCACCAGGGCGTGCCGCATATGGACAACACCAGACGTTGCATATGTTTTTGATAGGAGGGCTGCAAACTTTCCTAATTGGTCCTTGCTGGTCATTAGCATATAAAGCGCCTAGCCCTTACAGCCCAGAAATTTATGGAGGTTCTGGAGGAACTGCAGCTGCACCATGACAAGTTCATGAAGAGCATTGAGAAGGCATGGCGAGCACAGTTTTCCCATCTCATTTGCAATGTGCGTTCGAGAGTTGTGGAATACTGCAGCTTTTTTGCCACCACAAGCAGATTGGGTTAGGCGCAACAGTTGCGGGAGCAACTGTCTGTGGACCCGCGAATCCTTGAGAGACGAATCAGTCAGACGCAGGTGCCTTGCAGGATAAACGGAGGCGTCTACCAACAGATGCAGGATGGGTTCAACCTTTATAATATAGGTTTTTCCATGTTTTTCCCGAACGTGTAGCGAAGGGTTCTTGTTTGTAGTCTGGGGGGTTGGGGGCTGGACCTGTGACTTTGGATGGAGCGTGATGTGTCAGATTCGTGCGATATAGCGTGGAAACGTATGGAAACGCAACGTTTTGTAAGTGTTGAGAGTGGGCCAGAAGCTTAAACCACATGGTTTTAGACATGCTTGTTCTTTTACAATATCAAAAAAACTATATATTTTTAAAACATATGTTTTAAAGAAAACTAATTGGTACCCAGTTTTTGGGTGTTTCGTTTCTATGATACATTTAAGTCAGACATGTTTGAAATCTTTATGAATACAGAAATTGAATGTTCATATTCTTTCGTATAAGTTTCTTCTTTTTATCTAAAAGACAAAAAGCTGGGCACCATTCAGTTTTCGTAAAGAAATCATAGGAGAAAATAAGCCATCAAACAATTCTTTGTGGCTGACAGCGGCTTGTGAGATCCCCAGTTTCCTTCGCTGTGAGGGCTGTGAGAGTGGGATTGGCGTTTAGAGAGTGGTTTGTTTGAGGTGCTGGATGTCGCTGCGACAGTGGACAGGTCTCAGCCAAAATTTGGTCGATGTTTGGATGCAAACTTTGTAGCGCGGGAAGCAGCTTCTGGGACCTGTGGCCGCAGAACTCACACCTTTGTAGTGCACATGTAGTACGGGAAGCGACTGTGGACTCAGAGCTGGCAACTTTGTAGTGCAAATTGTAGCGCGGGATGTGGCTGAATTACGTCTGTGATGCCGCTGTGCCATGCGGCTTTGCACGGCCTCAGTGGAAAGTGCATCTGCGTGAGTCTTTGAGTCCGTGCGATTGGGGAAGGAAAGCGTGCTGGTGCACACGCGGCGTGTCGCTGGGGAGCAGGATGATTGGCGGTGCCTACGACGAGGCTTAGTGTTACATTGTTGTATCTAGTCTAGTCTGTGGCACACTGTTTGGATCTGTTTGGCGAAATTGCATCTGTGATGTCGCTGTACCATGCGGATTTGCGAAACCTCGGTGGAAAGTGCGTTTGCGTAAGTCCGTGCCATGAAGGGAAGGAAAACATGCTGGTGTAGTCTTTGGCACGCCACAAGGGTGTCACGCGAGAGTATCCCACAAGAGTTTTCCACAAGGGGGAGTGTTCCGCAAAGGTCCCACAATCAAGAGTTTACCACAAGCCTGTCCCACGAGAGTGTCCCACAAGAGTGTCCTACAAGAGTGCCCCACGAGAGTTTTCGACAATAATGTCTTACAAGAGCGTCCTGCAAGAGCGTCCCATAAGTGCACCGCGTACAAGAGTGTCTTACAAGAGTGTCCCACAAGAGTGTAAAACAATGTGTGGCCGCTTGCTTTCGAGTGCGCGGGTTCGTGGGTTCCGTTTTGTTTTTGACCCAGCTTCCGTTTTTGATGCTTTGTAGAATACAAAATCACAGACTAGAGCTGGAGTCCCATCAAACTTCAGGTCAATCCGGTGCAAGCTCCTGCCACACAGGCACGCGGCAAAGCTGGTTGGGTTGTCAGGTCATCATGTGGGTTCGGTCCATTTTTGCTCACAGATTCAAACTCCCACGAGCGGTCAGCGGTCCTGCTATCTGATTTTTCAATCATATATGTTTTAACATTTTTCTATTGTCTAACTATCGGAACCTCGCGAAGTGAGCCGAAGCTACCTGTGGTGTCATTGTTCCAAACAATGCACAAAGCTGACTCGGACTCAAGCTCTTCGGGCATTCACGTTTGCAATATGTTATAATGTGTTGCTGTTGCAAAGCTGCATCATTCTCCGCCTCATCCTGCCAGTCCCCCCAAAGTGGGTCGAGAGTCCTGCACTTAGCAGGGGAGATTGTGGAATGACTCATGAGAGTGAACTGGAGCTGACACAAACTTTAAAGTTGAAGCGTGTCAAGGATGTGCTTTTAGATGTTATCATACGTGAAACACGTCAATGCTAGTATGATGTAATTCTCAAAGTTCGCAGACCTCCTCCAAAGTGATGCTAGGATGTGTTCTTTCTTTGCTCAGGTACGCACTGAACAAGCACAGAAGCCAAAGGAGAGCCATGTTCGAGCGCATTTTCGAATCCGCTTTGGTTGTGCTGTTTCAGCCACTGTGAATTCACTGGGCTCAAACCAACGAGAGGAGTTGGACTGGCGGGGTTGATTGGACATGGTTGGACCATTCAAGACTAGCACAGAGTGTGAACCTTCCGCCAAACAAGAAGAACAGACATGACAAGCCAGCCATGTGAAACTTGATTTGAACGGGTCGATTGTACCCAGTCTTTATGAGGCCAAGTGGCACACTCCCGTAGCAGGCGCTGAAACTTCAATTGGTTTCATGTTTGTTTCCTTTTCTGAGTGAACTCATGTAAAGAAGCATGGCACAGCAGTCAGGGTGAAGCATGGCGAAGCTGTGATGAAGCTGTCAGATGTGACAGATGTTCAGTGGGTGTGCTTTGTATTTGCTCCCTGGCCGAGACATGAGCCAACAACGTCGAAAAGTGCTGAAAGGCATCGTGACCTCCAATGGTGGCACCGTTTGCGAGGAAATCAGTACAGCTACGTCTCTGGGACTCAACGAAGCAGCGAAACGAAGCTGTGAACCACAATATTGCTTAGTATTAAGGCTTAATGAATGGTGTGAGAGAGAGAGAGAGTGTGGAATTACACACAAGAGTTCCACACACAGAGTACGACTTACTGACAATTTTTTCCTATTGGCTATTTGTGCATGTTCTGACATGTTTTTGTTTTTGCTTCAATTCAGGCATGTCATCATTGGTGCCGGAGTGCCAGAGACAACATGGTGTAAGTTCCCTGTAGAAGTTCGCATTCTGCAGGCCGAATGGTTAAGTGCCTCGTCGTTCTTTCTTGGATTTTGAATCCATTCGGTTTTACCATGTCCGAAAGGTTAACATGGACGATGGGACACTTGACCAAGTGGCTCCAACCTGGAGAATGCTGAGGCAAGTCGGTGCAACAAGGACGTCTCCTCCCAGAGACTGACTTCCAGGCGACAATGCAACGGCGCCAAGAGAAAGAATTGCTCTTGAATGCAAACGCTTTTGAATGATCGAAGGTCAATCAAGTCACAAGAAGCGAGAATTGGGGTCTGGGCAGGTTCGAGTTGCCATTCCAAAGACAGTGTCTCCAGTCTCGTGCAGCCCGAGTCCTTCAGCCAGTCCTTTGGCCTCTCTCCAAGAGAGCAAAACAGAGGAGCTGAAGAGCCCCAACAGGACGGAACCGGTAGGCAGTTGCATTGATTAAATGTGGTACTGTGGTATGTCATCCATGAACTAGCAGCCACAGTACCAAACTAAGTTGTCTTATATTAGGGTTTGCTCTTCTGGCTGCTGACTCTTTAGAATGTTTTTCCGTGGCGCTGCCCCACTCCACTCTATACTTAAATATATATATATATATATATTGAGCATGCCAGCTGTGGCAAACATTATAAGATATAAGTGAACTTCAACCATGTCTGTCCTGCAACTTACAGTAAATGGTTTTAAAGCGTGGGGATGCTTGGGGGGGGGTCTCAGTCAAGTCGAGCTGGCGTAGAAAACCATGTCAGGAAGGACGGTAAAGGTCCACAGGACGACACACCACAAAATGTGCCTTGGCTGATTTCACACCATGAGTAATATGATATCGAATCATCATTACCAAAGTCTCAAAGTCTGTTGAGTGGCTTGATTTTAATCAACACTGCTTCAGCTCTCATCACTGATGGTGACTAGTGCCTGGAGGTGTTGAATCGCTGCAAAGCCAGCAGTAATCTAATATGGCATGTAGTATGCAGCCAGGAAAAGATCGCCGACCAGCTAAAGAAGCTTGCGGAGGCCTATTCGGCGCGAGGTGACCGATGGCGGAGCTGGCAGCTTGCCAAGGACGGACTTGCCGTCAGCAGAGAAGGTTTGAAGCTTCATCTATATACAAGATTCTACAAAGAGTTTCATAGAGTTTCCAACTGCACTTGGAATGAAATGGTGCATGGAGGCAGAACGGCTGGTGCGAACATGGCCAGAGCCTTTGAGATCTCCGGAGGACATGGTGCCCGGGCTTTCATCACGTTAAATCCACTGCCTCCCTGCGCAGAGATGAATCATCATGAACGAGACGGAATGTATGCATCTTCTACTATCATGTTTTTCATTCATTCTGATATGCTGTTTTGATATTGTTTTCGCCTGCTCTGCAGGACTTTGAGAGAATTTCAGGACTCGGACCGAAAACGAGGGAGAAGTGCAGAGAGCTGCTTGCCACTGGTGGACTGCAGCGCCTTGATGCGATGCAGGGCAGCTTGATCAAATTGATGGTCTTATAATCTTATATAATCATTATAAGTCCATTGAAGTCTATAGTGCTGCATGTCAAGGCCGTCCTAAGTTCTACTCAATCGACTTGCAACTCCTTTCATCATGGAACAATCACACTGGTGCCACGTCATTGAGGAGATGCAGCGACGCAGATCTTGCAGGAGATACTGTGGATGTTGAACACCAGAGGTACTGGTATAGGAACAAGGACGCTACTAATTAGTAGCAAAGGGCATCGCTACTAAGAGCAAGAAGCTACTAGTAGCTCCTGGCATTACTACCGGGTTACCAGGAAGAAGAAGCAATTTTGTCCCATACTTTCACAGCTCGTGCTCATGTGGTTTGTTGAATCATTGTGATGTGCTCAAAAGCTCCAAGGCTCATAGCACACAAAGTAGCCCAAACACATCCTGCACACAAGAAGGCAAACTCTGGAGACATCTTCAAGTGCTGCCATTGCAATCCTTCACCTGCAAAGTCAGCTGCGAGACATCTCCCAGGGCCCACACAAAAAGGGCACTGCGGATTCAAGCAACTTTTGCGAGCCTGCACACGAGGAGTCGACTTCCTGCCAGTTGCCGCATGAGACATCTCCAGGAAGATCTCAGACAGCAAACTCCCACAAGTCTTGCCACGCAAAGTCCAAACAGATGTAACCTTTCACAGTGGTTCGAGAATCCAATGCGCAACATGTCCACAGAGGTCATTGTGAGGTCTCGGCAGCCCCACTGCGAGAGAGAGGAAAGAATGCCGGGGAAAGAGCAGGCTATGACGGCTATGAGATTCTAGGATAGGAGGGGTAAACCAGCGTGTGAGATTAGATTAAAGCGAAGAAAGATGCCTTAGTGGCCTTCGAAGTTGTTTGGAAGAGCACTTCGTTTATGTAAGTATACAAACAAAAGGAAAGCACACAAACAAAACAAACTAACAAACAAACAATCAACCAACCAAGCAAGCAAGCAAACAAGCAAACAAACAAACAAACATGCCATCCCATGCCATCCCCCATCAATCCATCATAATATGTTGTACAACAGGAATTAAAAGGACTCAAAAGGGCTCTTGATGACTTGTTGAGGCATATTATATTTGGACATGGAGTTTGTTTGCCCGGGCACATATATATATATATATATATGTATGTTATAGAGAGAGACACGCAACTGTTGAAGGCGCCTTAAAGTGAACTATGTGAATCCCTCGAAATGCTGTCCCAGGAGTTCACATGCATCCATGGAGCTGGAGAATCCGTAGCCAGGAGGCCTAAGGGAGAGAGGGCTTTCATTTTATGCTTTGTAAAAGAAGTTTTTGCCCAAAGATTTGCGATTCAAACTTCAAACCGTCGAAATGTGCATTTCCAGATTGCCAGACAGTCTTGCATAAGGTTGCTGCACACACTTTGATGTCTCACTCCTTTCTGCAGTTTTGCTCAGCATTTGGAAAAGGTAACACATGTGGTCAACACCTTGGTCTGGCTATGTTTTGCAGTGCAAGACATATTGCGTGCAGGTGGTTCCAGGCAGGGTGCCGCAGCCTAGAAGAACTGCGTTTGCGACAAGAAGAGCTGCAGCTGACGCGGACGCAGAGGCCGAAGCACAGAACAACTTTGAGTGCCTTCAGCTCTTTGTGGGGTGAGCACGCAGGCAAATAGACAGTCACTCTTTCGATCTCAAGTCTTGGGTTTGGGTATATATATATGTTCTCTAAATAAGCATAATTAAGGGCTTTTCTGATCGGCTGTTGATAGGTTTGATACTGTAGCATTTATGTTGTTGCTGCAGAGACACCAGCATTTTGCTCATCTTCACCTTTTTGACTCCCTGAGTGTGGGCTATGGCGGCTATGGCACTGCTGTTGTGGGGGTCGGTTCGGTCGCCACCGCTCCTCCCTTGCGTTAACTGATTTGTTTTGTAGAGGGTTTGTTGTTGGGGGGCGGGGTTGGTCGCCACTGTCGACACTATGTCTGTATAATGTCGCTGTGCCATGCGGTTTGGCTCGGCCTTGGCGGAAAGTGCAAGTGCGTTTGCGTGGCTCCGTGCCGTTTTGAAACAGAAAGCTTGCAAACATCCAAATCCAAAAACACCAATCACAAGAACCACCAGCAAAAAACTCACCCCCCTAGCAAAAACAACACACAATATTCTGAGACTCTTGGAGTCCTCCCTCCGGAAAATGGTGTGTGTGTGTTTCTTTTTTTGGGTTTTCATTTTTTTGTGGTGTCCCAGACTTCTGTATACCCCCCCCGAGACCCCAAGAAAAATGCTTCTTGTTAAAACAGTTAGTGGTGCCAGGCTGGGCACGCACAAACTTGCACTGCATAGAGAGCTCTAGCCCAGGCTTGGGAAGTCTGCATTTTAAAACACATATTTTACTATTTATTGTGTTTGATGTCCTTTGAACTTCCTTTTGAACTCCTTTTGACTCTTGTTGATGCCCTTTTGAAAACTCTTTGATATCAAAGGAGTTCTTTTAATCCCTTTGGTTACAATTGTTTTCCTTGTAAATGTCAAATTCCTTTTGGTTCTTGGTGACTCTATTCTTCTGGCATCAGAGCATCTGATACATAATGCAAGCAGGCAGGCTCTCATCTGAATCTGCATCTATTCTTCTAGATGCTTCTGGCGTTCTAACAACTGTTACATAATCTCAATGAGACATCACACCACAAAACCTCCCAAATATACAATTTCACAATTCGCCCCCAATGGCACCCTACCCTGCTTTGAAAATACTG